ATCCTTCAGTGTTTTCAGCTAATGGTGCTGAACTCTGCAGGAAATGCCCAGAAAAAGCCTGGAGTTTTGCAAGTCCGAGGTGATGACCCTGGTTGGGGAGAGTGGTACAACAGTTACAACTTGATAATGGATTACTGGAAACTACGCAGTCATAAAATTATAGAGATCAACCCTGCACGCATTCTTAGAATAAGCAGATGTGACTTAGCAATTGCATATTTGAGTGAAGAGACCCAAGTGGACCCAGTGAATAAAAATGAAGGAGGTGTCTTTTATGTTCCCGCTTCAAGCCACACACATACACATTGGCAGAAAGTAGATGATTGAGCTCAAGAGTTTGAGCAACACAAATGCCCAAGTTACTGGTGATTACTAAACTATGCAGACACAGGTACGGCTAAAACTTAAAAGGAAACAAAGCAGAAATATCAATGGCCAAACAGCTATAAGGTATAGATTCTGCAGCCTAAGTCCAGGCAAGCTATTAAAAGGAAATTCAACACTCTTAGAAAAATAAAACAGAATCCAGAATTATGTATTAGTTGAGACATATACAAAAATATATTATCTACAATGCTCATTTTTCCATAAAAATTCCTGAAAAGAAAGACAAAGTCATAAACCATATTGAGATAAATCAGTGAGTGGAAGCTGACTCTGACTGTTCCTAAATACTGAATTTTGCTAAGAGTTTCAAGTGGTTGTCACATAAATGCTTCAAAGAATATTTAGAACTATGATCAAGGACTGAAAAAGGAAAACATAGAGACAATGACTCAAAGAATGGGATCTCTCAATAGAGAAAGGGAAACTATGGAAAAGGACCAAATAAGAATTCTAGTTGAAAAATATAAATACAGTAGGGAAAATTCACTGGATATGGCAACAGGAGTTCAAGTTGGCAGAAGCATCAATGAAACTGAAGATAGTTTAGTAGAAATTATCAAATCTGAAAAAGAAAGAAAAAATTTAAAGAAAAATAATCATGATCTTAGAGGTTTATCAGTCAATGTGAAGAACACCAGCAAATGTGCAATGAGTCAGAAAGGAGAAGACAGAGAGAAAGTGGCCAAAAATATTTGGAGGGGTGACAAAAGCTTTCAAGAAGCAATGAAACACATTCATCTTTAGAGGAAAAAATTGAAAGAACTTATTTAGGACAAACACAATGATACACATAACTATACATACTACGATTAAAATGCTGAACCAATGACAAGGAGAAAATCTCAAGTGTATCAAACATAAAACGACTCTCTATATACAGAAATACAGTGATAAAGCCATCAGATAACTTTTCATCATGCCCAAAGGAGGCTAGAAAACAGTGGAATGACATATTTAAATGCTGGGAAAAAAAAAAAAAACACAAAACAAAAAAAAAAAACCCAAAAAACCAAGGATTCAGTATCCCCTGAAAGTATGCATTCAAAATAAAGGTAAAGGAAAAGCATTTCTTGATAAACAAAAATGAAGAAAAATGATTACTTAAAGACATGCTCTTTAGAAATTCTCCAGGAAATTCTTCAGATTCACAAAAAATGACAGCAGACAGTAACTTGAATCCATAGGGAGGAAGGAAGGTCTCAAAAGTACTAAGGGAACAACAACAACAAAAAAAGAGCTAGACAAAATAACCGTGTTTACTTCCATTCGTATGAGGTTTCATGTAGAGAAATCCAATCTATCTGGACACGCTTCAGAATGCCAGTTTCCTTCATTGGAATCGGGGAACGGCTGTTTCCTGAAAGGTAGGTACATGAGGGAAGAATCTGGAGATTCTGAAGTATTTTACAGTTTAATCTGGGTGGAAAATATATGTAAAACTTTATTCAGTTGCATTATTTACCATTTCTGTCCTTTACTTTGTGTGTGTTTTATTTAAATTTTTAAAAAATTGAAAGGGCCAAATCTGAACTCTTTTAAACAAAAATGAACAAAAACATAAGAATTAGTAAATATTTTGAAAACTCGGCCTTATTAACAAGAAGTATAAAATGTACCTGGGAAAGTGCTATGAAACAAGAAATCTGTTAGAGAAGACAGAAGGAAATACTTCAATTTCTCCCACATGGACGGCATAGATTTTACGCCTGTTGGTTTTCCTCTGAATAGAGAAGATATTTTGAACAGAGAAGTCATTTTGCTCACAAGAGAGGCTCCCACCCTCCCCTTGGCTCTTTCCACTCCACTGCACCCACCAGGTGTTTTGCATATTGTGCCCTAGGGAGGATCTTCCCTTGTGAGTCTGAGATAAAAACTCAGTTCTAAGCTTGTCTTGATTGATCAGGACTCCTCAGTTCACCATGAGGCTCCCTGCTCAGCTCCTGGGGCTGCTAATGCTCTGTGTCCCTGGTAAGGGCAAAAGGGAGATGGGGGAGGAGAATGGGGTGGACCGGTGAGCTCTGGGGTTCCCACTGCCTCCTATGAGCAGTGAGCTGTGGGGGCCTCACTACACTCCTGTGTGTGTTCCTTTCATGTATTGCACGTGCATATCTTGTCCTCCAGGATGGGGCTTGTGATGTTCAGATGTGTGAGAGTGAGGAAGATTCAGGAAGAAACAAGGATCTGTGTCCTGGGGAAGACTGACACAGAAAGAGGGGATGGTGTGGGGTCTTCTGGAGACCACTTTG